TGAAGTATCATGAAAGTTGGGCTTGGGCCTTTCCTTTTTAGTTACATAATTGCATATTATATCCATTATAGATAATGATTATATTTTTTGTCTTTTTGTAAAGTTAGTTACAAGTTTGTTAGGGAATAGGAATAGAATTGTATAAATAAAGATACACTGTACAGATTATGATTACTCAGATATGGAAAGCAAGCTTTCTGCTCAAATTCTCTTCTTCTTCTTTTAAGTTTTTCAAACAATAATTTGAATTAAAGTCTAAAGGACAAGGTAGTAACCAATAAGGTATTGCTATTATATATTTATGTAGGAGTAACTGTAAATTACTACAATCTTAATTAGTTATCGATTTACCCAATATCCAATATTAAAAAAAATCAAAACCCAACGATAACTCGATATTTTTTTTAAATTTATAAAACCATTAAAACCCCATTAACCTAATAATAATAAACCAATAACAATTTATTTGTTTGATTTTTACGCAACCTTAACCTTATGTTTCAGTTTTAATTATTTTGTTTCTTAAATAAAAAAAATGATATGTTTATATATTTAATAGTAATTTAATTTTATAGCTATATAAAATATTTAACATGTCTTCGTTCCTAAGTTTCAAATATCTTTTCTCTAGTTTTTTTGTAATAAAGAAAACTATATATCTGCATAAATCAGAACTAATGAAATACGTAATTAATACTCCACTATAAATGGCAAACGGAAATGGGCGGATGAAGTCTTAACTCGCTAAAGAGTAAAGTTTTAATTAAATTCTCTTACTTCAAAGGTCAATGGCTTAATGAGCAAATGACCCCAACTCAATTTCAACTATTTCTTTGAAAATGTGATAGAATATGAGCATATAATTCAAAATCTTAAAAAGATCATGTGGAGTTATTGATGACATTATAATTCATTTGAAATGCTTATACAGTTTGAAAAACAAGTGTGGTATTCTCTCGACTGTATAATCCAATTTCATAAAAATATTTTATATATATTTTAAATATGTGATTTTTGTATAAATAGATCAAACTAATTAAAATTTGGCTTTAATAATTTGGGCATTCACCTCAAAATCTCAAGAAAATATGGGTGATGTGACCCTAAGATGATGTAAAACCTTCTAAAAACACTTGCACAATTATTGGGAATCAAATGTGATAAAATAAAAGTGTTCTATGACAGCTTATGCTTTTAAATAATATGATGACCATATAGTTCAATACAATATTAGAACAAAAACAAACTTTGAGTTTCACCAATGTCATCCCTATCAATATTATCAAAAAGAACTTTATTGTGTTTGACCAACTAAAAAAAAATCAATCATTCGTCAGAAAGATGTGGTAAATAAACCTAGTTAAATAATTGAAAGTTTGCTTACTCAAATATATTAAGTGCTTGTAAATGATGAGATTTTTACCCAACTGAACAATAAATACAATTTTATAGGTGTTTAATAGAAATTAAGTGATTAAATAGCAGATTCATATATTGTTACTTATAAATTATAAGTGTTTAGAAGTTTTATTACGTGCTTTAAAAAAGTTGATATATATAGACAATTTTAATGAGAAAATGTTCTGGTTTTCTATTCTGGTTTTCTATTCTTTTAAATAGTGTCATATAAACTAATTAAGAAATATTACAAAAAGTTTGTCTTTGAAAATTATCTTTTGAAAACTGGTGACATAATTAGTACTTTTGGAGAAAAAATTATTAGCATGACATAAAGTTAACCAACCGCAGTTGATTCATTGTAGACTCATGAAAAAACGTAGTTTAATTTTTCTGAGACCATCTCCAACCATCTCTATTTTACTCTCCATACTCTATATTTGGAGAGTAAAATAGAGAATGGGCACTCCAACCCACCTCCAAATCACTCTCTATTCTTCAAATTTAGAGAGTTGAATAGTAGTTCTCCAAATTTGGAGAACTACTATTCAACTCTCTAAATTTGAAGAATAGAGAGTGATTTGGAGGTGGGTTGGAGTGCCCATTCTCTATTTTACTCTCCAAATATAGAGTATGGAGAGTAAAATAGAGATGGTTGGAGATGGTCTCAGAAAAATTAAACTACGTTTTTTCATGAGTCTACAATGAATCAACTGCGGTTGGTTAACTTTATGTCATGCTAATAATTTTTTCTCCAAAAGTACTAATTATGTCACCAGTTTTCAAAAGATAATTTTCAAAGACAAACTTTTTGTAATATTTCTTAATTAGTTTATATGACACTATTTAAAAGAATAGAAAACCAGAATAGAAAACCAGAACATTTTCTCATTAAAATTGTCTATATATATCAACTTTTTTAAAGCACGTAATAAAACTTCTAAACACTTATAATTTATAAGTAACAATATATGAATCTGCTATTTAATCACTTAATTTCTATTAAACACCTATAAAATTGTATTTATTGTTCAGTTGGGTAAAAATCTCATCATTTACAAGCACTTAATATATTTGAGTAAGCAAACTTTCAATTATTTAACTAGGTTTATTTACCACATCTTTCTGACGAATGATTGATTTTTTTTTAGTTGGTCAAACACAATAAAGTTCTTTTTGATAATATTGATAGGGATGACATTGGTGAAACTCAAAGTTTGTTTTTGTTCTAATATTGTATTGAACTATATGGTCATCATATTATTTAAAAGCATAAGCTGTCATAGAACACTTTTATTTTATCACATTTGATTCCCAATAATTGTGCAAGTGTTTTTAGAAGGTTTTACATCATCTTAGGGTCACATCACCCATATTTTCTTGAGATTTTGAGGTGAATGCCCAAATTATTAAAGCCAAATTTTAATTAGTTTGATCTATTTATACAAAAATCACATATTTAAAATATATATAAAATATTTTTATGAAATTGGATTATACAGTCGAGAGAATACCACACTTGTTTTTCAAACTGTATAAGCATTTCAAATGAATTATAATGTCATCAATAACTCCACATGATCTTTTTAAGATTTTGAATTATATGCTCATATTCTATCACATTTTCAAAGAAATAGTTGAAATTGAGTTGGGGTCATTTGCTCATTAAGCCATTGACCTTTGAAGTAAGAGAATTTAATTAAAACTTTACTCTTTAGCGAGTTAAGACTTCATCCGCCCATTTCCGTTTGCCATTTATAGTGGAGTATTAATTACGTATTTCATTAGTTCTGATTTATGCAGATATATAGTTTTCTTTATTACAAAAAAACTAGAGAAAAGATATTTGAAACTTAGGAACGAAGACATGTTAAATATTTTATATAGCTATAAAATTAAATTACTATTAAATATATAAACATATCATTTTTTTTATTTAAGAAACAAAATAATTAAAACTGAAACATAAGGTTAAGGTTGCGTAAAAATCAAACAAATAAATTGTTATTGGTTTATTATTATTAGGTTAATGGGGTTTTAATGGTTTTATAAATTTAAAAAAAATATCGAGTTATCGTTGGGTTTTGATTTTTTTTAATATTGGATATTGGGTAAATCGATAACTAATTAAGATTGTAGTAATTTACAGTTACTCCTACATAAATATATAATAGCAATACCTTATTGGTTACTACCTTGTCCTTTAGACTTTAATTCAAATTATTGTTTGAAAAACTTAAAAGAAGAAGAAGAGAATTTGAGCAGAAAGCTTGCTTTCCATATCTGAGTAATCATAATCTGTACAGTGTATCTTTATTTATACAATTCTATTCCTATTCCCTAACAAACTTGTAACTAACTTTACAAAAAGACAAAAAATATAATCATTATCTATAATGGATATAATATGCAATTATGTAACTAAAAAGGAAAGGCCCAAGCCCAACTTTCATGATACTTCATCCAAATAAGAGAAACCGTTGGGCTTTGGTATGCTGGGCTGGTGTTTCTCCAAGGTGTCTGTATTTTCTTTATCTTCAATGGAAGGTTCTGGTGAAATATCAATAACAGTAGTTCCAACAGCCCCCCTTCAAGTGGGAGGCCGGTGAACGGACTCCTAACTTGCCAAGAAGGAATCGATGTGAGGGTCCAGCAAGAGCTTTGGTGAACAGATCGGCTAACTGAGAAGAAGAAGGAACAAAAGTTAAAGAAATTAAACCATCAAGGGGCTTCTCACGGGCGAAGTGGCAATCGAGCCCGATGTGCTTCGTATATTCGTGAAAAACTGGATTTTTAGCTATATGAATCGCAGCCTGGTTGTCACAATGAAGAGGAATAGGCAATGAAGGTGGAGCACTAAGGTCATGAAGAAGGCGAACAATCCAAGTGATTTCAGCGACAAGACTACATATAGAGCGGTATTCTACCTCAGCTGAAACAAGGCCAAAACAGGTTATTTTTTAGATTTCCATGAAACAGGACAACCCCCCAGGCTAAGGAAGAAACCACTCACGGATCGACGAGTGTCAGCACAAGACACCCAATCCGCATCGCAAAAAGCAAGAATCTGAAAAGAGACTCATGAGAAGACCTAATCCTGAATCTCTAGCCAAGTAACGAAGGGTATGTAATGCAGCTTCAAGATGCCCGGTGTGTGGAGAGTGCATATATTGACTCAAAGTCTGCACGACATAGGAAAGATCTAGCCGAGTGTTGGTAAAAAAAATCAACTTTCCAAGAAGTCACCGATATACCAAAGTAGCTGGCAAAGGAGAACCAGAAGTAGCAGAAAGTTTCAAATTGGGATCCAAAGGAGTAGACACAACACGACAATCCAGACAATTGAACTCTTGTAGAAGATCAAGAGCAAATTTACGTTGGGTAACGACAAGTCCCTATTTTTCTTTAACCAATTCCATGCCCAAAAAATAATGCGTCTCACCCAAATCCTTAATCCGAAATTCAGAGTTCAAAAAATATTTAACCCTGTTGATTTCTGATGTATCATTACCACTAAGCAGGATATCATCAAGATACACGGCAATGATGGTGATGAGCTGACCAGAGACTTTAAAGAAGAGTGAATAATCGTTGAGAGAGGAAACAAAACCATGTGTGGCAAGAGCTGAAGAAAGTCTCGAGTACCATTGACGAGAAGCTTGCTTCAACCCGTACAAAAACATACGCAGGCGACACACAACAGATGAAAAAGGCAACTCAAGACCAGGAGGGTATTGCATATATACCTCCTCGTGTAGATCTCCGTGCAAAAAAAGCTTTATTCATATCCAATTGGTAAACCTTCCAGCCCCTCTTAACAACAAAAGACAAGAGACATCTCACAGTGGTCATTTTGACCACAGGAGAGAATGTTTCCGTATAATCGATCCTTTCACGTTGAGTGTTACCTCGAATTACAAGTCGAGCTTTCAGACGCTCTAAACTCCCATCTGATTTTAATTTGACTTTATGCATCTACTTACAAGCTAAAAATTTCTTATTTGCAGGCAATTTGACCAGGTCCCAAGTGTGATTGGAGTTCAAGGCTTGTAATTCTGACTCCATTGCAGCTTTCCAACCAGGATTCATCAATGCTTGTCGATAAGAAGTAGGTTCAGTAATTTAACAAATGGAACTGATAGTTGTCTGATTAGAAGGAGTTAGAGCAGACTGATAAAAGGGATGAATATGAAGATTAAGTGAGATCACAGAGAAAGCTTGTGCACAAATATAATCTGACAAATACCTAGGTTTCACATGTTGTCTTTGTGACCTACGTGGAGACATTTCTACTGCTGGTGGCAATACTTCATCCTGTGGGAAAGGTATAGGTGCATCAGAAGTAGAAGGACTGCTGCTTGAAAAAGGGATAGACATAGTAGATGGACTGAAAGGTGTAGGATATTGAGGTGATGAATCTGCAACAGAAAGAGAGGAAGCAGAAGGTTAAACTGGAGAGGAAGATTCAGAGAAAATAGGGGAAGTAGGAGGAAAACCAGAATTATCACAGTGAGAAGAACTACCAGGGAAGAGTTTATACATGGGAGTGTAATGGGAAAAAAGGAAGATAGCTTCAACAAACTTGACATTTCTAGAAACATGTACTGTACCAGATTGGAGGTTAAGAACTTTATATCCTTTTTGTCCAAAAGGATACCCGAGGAAAACCCCTGGAAAAGCTCTAGGACTCAATTTATCCCTATGTCTAGTAAGTGTAGAAGTGAAACATAAACACCCAAAAGGTTTTAAGTGAGAATAATCTGGAATTAACCCAAATAGAACTTGATGTGGTGTTTTCTGATTAAGCACAGATGAAGGAAATCTATCAATAAGATATGTAGCAGTAAGCACCCCTTCCCCCCAAAACTTCTTAGGAGCATTAGATTGAAAAAGAAGAGCCCTACAAGTCTCCAACAAGTGCCTATGTTTCCTCTCCACGACACCATTTTGTTGTGGAGTTTCTACACAACACTTTTGATGAATGATACCTTGAGAATAGAAAAAATCTTGTTGAATTTCCCCCGATCCTAGCTCATATGCATTGTCAGACCTGATCACCTTAACCTTCGAACGAAATTGTCTTTCAATAAGAGTTAGAAAGGATTTGAGGATAGAACAATTATTGCAGGACTCACGTTTTTGGAGAAATGAAGTGCCACATGATATAATGACTACATGTATTATACTGCACAACATGATAATTGAGGATGAACGTGATCTCAATGCACCAATTCAAGATGTCGTAGAGGCTCCAACTCCAACTATAGAAATGGTGATAGATGAAAATCTCCGGTTTGAACAATTTTTAGCTAGACATAAAAAATTAAGGACAAAATGCTCATTTTGAACTCCGTAATGCATTAATAGAGCATTTATGCGAGCAACGTAATAATTTTGAAAATTGAGTGTTTATGTAATTGTATGTCACTTTATTTTGAATTTTGTCCCCTAATTTATGTATTATATTATATTTTCTTGCAATTTATGTTATTTAAAAATTTAGAATAAAAATAATTTTATATCACATTAAAATTATATAAAGTAATTATTTGGGAAAAAGAAATAAAAGATTTATATTATGAAATAAGAAAATAAGAATGAAATAAAAATAATAATATAATATTGAGGAGAGAGAAATATATTCATTTTTAGAAAGTAAAATAGAGAATTGGATTGGAGTTAGTTGTCTGAAAAAATAGAAAACTCTATATTTGGAGAGTAAAATAGAGGATTGGGTTGGAGATGCCCTAATGACTGAGTTACGTAGTTTAATTTTTGTTTTGGGTAATTAATGCCCACGTGATTTACGTGATAACGTCCCTACCATTATATTTTAAAAGAAAAATAGTCCTTTTCGTTTTATTCTTCTTTAGGCATTTACTTCTTTCCATTAAATTATCAAGTGAAAGACTAAAATCACATCCGAAGTATTTCAACTTTTTGTGTTTCAAACTATTAGAATGGTGAATTTTCTATTTGAACTATACATATACGCTAACTAGACCAAGAGAGAAAGTATATATAAGAGAAAGGATAGATAAAATTCAATCCAATAAATAAAAGGAAGACATTTTAAATCATTTCTAATATGTTAAGAATATTTATACAAAAAATTAAAGTACTTTTGATACAACATATCAAACTATCAATAAAAATTAATATCATTATAATTAGGCCAAACACATAAGTAGATCCTTAAAATTGTCCCTAAATTTCATTTTGGCACTTCAACTCAACCTTATTCCATTTTAACCCTTCAACTTCAATTTTTATGTTCCATTTTGACACTTCTTTCCAGAGAATCAATAAAGTGGGATGTGTGTACTTCACATGCCATTATTGTGTGAAAAAAATAATGGATGAACATCATTTTAAAAATAAATAAATTATTTTTAGAGTTTATGTACATTATTGTGTGAAAAAATAATTGACGAAAGTGTGTTGGTTTTTCTTTTTTTAAACAATTAATTAAATTAAATAACACCACATATATTTTTTTCATATCTAGTCTAATTGGACTAACTCAAATATGAGCTTTCTAATTTTTCATTCAACTAAATACGAGTAAAAAACAAACTCATGTTCATTGCTAATTAATAACACTACAAAAAAATATTGAAACTCGATAGACTGCGTTGGATTGTCATTGATTTTCTTAAAGAAAATCGACGCATTTTCGTCGGTTATTTTTCACGTAAAAATATAGGAAAACTCTTAAAATGAAATTGTTACTTTTTATATATAAAAAAAAAAAATCAATGATCATCCATCAATTTTAATTATTTACAATAACTAACGGATGAACTCCGATTTTTAAAATGCAAAATTGCAGTTGAATAACATATATAGAAATAAAGAAATCATAAAATTAGTATTTTGTGTTAAATGGTACATAAAAGAAATAGAGTTGAAGGGAATCTTTTATTATTTTTTTAAAAAAATAGTTTTTTTTGTCTTTCACTCTCTTAGAAAAAGTGTGATGCACACACTCTACCACATCACTTAGAAGTGCCAAAATGAAACATAAAAATTGGAGTTAAAAGATTAAAATGGAACAAGATTGAGTTAAAGTGTCAAAATGAAATTTAGAGACAAGTTTAAGGGTCTATGTGTTTGGCCTAAGTAGAATATTTGCATATGTGTTTGGCCTTTATTCTATTTTAAATTAGTTTATGGGTAATAGGATCCTAGTTAAGTTTAGGTGTCTAGGATTTCCGTCATAATCTAGGGGGTACTTGTACTATACCCCGTTACTTTATTTAATTTAATCCATCAATTAGTTATACCTCATACAAGGTCTCATTTTATCTATCACGTCCCGAGCCTGGACGTGGTCGGCACTCGAGAATCATTGTTGGCCTCAAGCGAACCCTTGGCCTGACTCAATTCTTAGCGGAAGACTTTCTCAATAAAAGATAAACTCAAAAGTAGAACTTTACTCGAAATCTAAAAATATAACTCAGAATATATAAGAATATTCTACTAGCCCGAAATAGGCAACTCAAGTCTTTAAAACATTTAACAAAGAAATGAAAAGATTCATGAACTACTACTATCTATCTATGAAGCCTCTACTAATAGAAACAGACGTCGGGACAAGACCCACGACATCCTAATAACAAACTGAAATGATAAAACATAAATGAGGGATCTTCCGGAAGCAAGGAGGCTCACGAAACAACTCTGAAACTGCAACTGGTATCAACGAATCGTCTGTTGATGACCTTGATCTCCTGTATCTACATCATGAAACGATGCAGGCCAAATGACATCAGTACATTGAATGTACGGGAAAAACTGATCATAACATCAAAGCTTTAACTTTGGAAAGAAGGAAACATACTTACCTTGACTCTACTTAACTCAACCTCAACTCATGAATACTCAACTCAATGCAATATAAAAACAACAATAAAGATGCAGTTTGTATAAAACATTTAAAATAGTAGATAACAACTCAATGTATTTAAAAATACAATAATAGCTCAGTTTGTACGTAAAAATACAAAATAACTCTGTTTGGGAGATTCTTTAACCGACAACCATCA